AGCTCAGTAATGACTTGACAAATTCAAGATTAGCAAGGTTGCAGCAAGAAAGGTGTGAGCAGAACTTGTCCCCATGCTAAAGGAAGAATCTTTGAACCATTCTTAAATCTCTGCAGCCTAAGAACAGCTGCTCTGTGCATTTCACAGCCACCAAATTTAACCCTCTCCACCTGCAGTAGGACATGGAAGCCATAATGAGCCCTGACTGAGTTAACAGATCTGCCTCCCCAGAACATTGAAAACCTTGGTGTCAGAGGCTGAAGAGGAAGAAATGGCTTCTACATTGATAGCTTTTGACTCGAGGGCCATTATTTCCCATGCATGGAGTCTGTGTGGTTGGCCTCAAGGACACCATCCTTTCTGAAGGATAAGACCTTGACTTTGTATAGCTGAACCCTATTTCTCTGTCACCTAGGCATATTAAAAGCCTAAGCAGGAAGTTTGAGGCTACAAGGAAACTTAAGAAGTGAAAAAAGGAAAACTTTCCCCAAGCAGACCTGAAGTCAGCATTACATTAAGCCTTGATAATAGTGGAATTTCATAGTGAGAACTATTTAACAACTTTCTTTAGTTATTTCTTTGAAATATTACTGTGATTAAGTCACAGTAACTACTGTGAGAAGTCATATTTAACTTAATTATTAGAAATGTTAATATAAAAATGTATAATTATAAGTGACAGGTATGTTTAAGCATGTGCCCCATTCAGACCTCTTGCTACCACTGGGTGGGTGGTGCTTCAAAAAATTTGGTAGGTTCAGAAATTTCAAAAAGCAGCAACTATGAGAAAGGGGCCCATGATGGTGGGGTATCAAGTGGTGTTGGACCTGAGCTTCAGAGGACAGGAGACTAGCATTGCCTCTAAAGAGGTTTTCATTTCTCTTAGTCATGCGGCCTGCAATTCTGGCAGATGTCTCAACCCAGTGCCTTTAATGACCAGCCAGAGACATCACATTTATATTTTTAAAAGAAAAACTACTAGAGTTGCCAAATGAAATATGTATAGACTGCCTCTAGACTAGAACCATTTAGGCTGAAGAATGAAGTGTGACTATTTCCAGGCATGTTGAAGTGGTTCTTTTTTTTTATGAAAAGAAATCTTATTATTACTTTATTACATAACCTATTAGTGAATACACCACATGGGATTTTCTTAAATGATGAATGAGGCACATTTCTGATTCCTCTGAGAACCTCGATGCCATCTGTCTTTTGGAGGGTCCAGTTTCTTACGACGTCTGTGATACTGTCTGTGAGGATACCAACTGTGCTTGGTAGTGAAGAACATTTGGCGAAGTTGTTCTATCATGGGTGCTTGTTCAAGGTGTTCACTTTTCTCTTCTAACCTGGATTTCAGCACTTGATCATGTGTTTCTTCATTATTATGCACAGGATCTGGTCTAGGGATAGGCTGTGTGTGTTCATATGGAATATCCACAGATGGGTGGTAGCACACTATCATCCTGCCATCAGATGTCAAAGCAAGCTCCACTTTGCAATTACAGTCATCTGGAAGAGAAGAATATGTAGATTTATGACAGACACAATATGAAGCTCCATTTTGGGTTGGAAGGAAATGTTCCAAGATGGTTGTCTCTGATATCACACATTTTATCGCTGCTACTGCCATGGTGAATCAAGAGGCTTCTTAGGTGGCACAAAAAAGGTTGTTCCGAAGAGAAATTGCTGGTTTAGTTAGTCGAGAGGACAATTAAAACAACAAAAAAAAATTTTAAGTTTTTTTTTTTTTTTTTTGCTATGAGCACGTGCGCTCATCAGAGAGCGGGCAAGTGAGGAATCCCTCCCCCCCCGCTCCCATGGGGGATGGTCACACACCACAATCCCTTCTCCTCCATTCTTCCTTCAGGATTTTGGGCACACATGCCTGGTGTGTTCAAGCGCTGGATCCAGGATATGAACCATGCATTTGGTTGGTCACATGTATTATCCAGCTACTTTAACTACCATGCCACTGGCTGGTCCTTTAATGCTATTTCTAAGGACCAGTTAGGGCCTCATGCCATTTATTTTTATATTTCTTTCACTTGTTTTATATTATTATTGTTATCTTTTTATTCTATTTTTCTTTACCTTTTAGCATTCATTTATTTTTGTCCTTTTAGATTATATACACTATCAAAATCACTTCAAATATTTGTTTTGAAACAAAGTGAGAGTTAAATGAAAGTATGAAAACAAAGTTTTCTTTAATTAAAAAAAGCATCGAGTGCCAGTCCCATAGTCTAGTGGTTGGGAGATCTCAATCCACGTGGCTGACTACGATTTGCGTTACAACCCCAACAGCTTGAAAATGCGCCAGGCACATATGCATGTGTACCCAAAATCCCAACAGGATGAAAAAATGAAGAAGGGATTTTGGCATTGTTCCCCATTGTGGAGTGCTTTGTCCTCCTACCCCTACAAGAGTATGTGCCCTCTGGTAATTAGAAAAAAATAACATCAGAAAGCAACATCAGAAAGCAGTCAATAAACTGAACATACAGATGTGTCATGTAGTCTGTTCTGTCTTTTATTCTAATGTTTGAAAAAAAGGCTTCAAGAGTTTTCTCTGTGTGTGATGAATTAGAGACAAGCTCTACATAGCTGACTCAGTTGGCATTGTGAGACAGCTGTGTCATTTAAGGGCAGGATTTACAGCCGCACGGTATTTTCATTGGCTGAGCTTTGCGAATATGTGCGTGCGTGTCTATAATATTATACCTTGTGCCTTTGAATATCTGAACTCCCTTAGGTACTTCTTGGCAAGTAGGTTCTCATGCTCTAGCATAACCTTGTGGTTACACATAATCTCCCAGCCAAAGGGCCGACCTCCAGGTGAGATCATTAGCTCAGAATAGAGGCACGGGATAGGCAAGCAGAAAGGTTGGCTTGGCTACTGGCAGCCAGGCATGCAGAGCAACTTTGGTCATGGTAGTAGAATTCAACCAGACAGAATACAGGATTTCGTAAGGAGACTAGCTAGGCGTGTTGATCACGTCAAGCTCAGTAATGACTTGACAAATTCAAGATTAGCAAGGTTGCAGCAAGAAAGGTGTGAGCAGAACTTGTCCCCATGCTAAAGGAAGAATCTTTGAACCATTCTTAAATCTCTGCAGCCTAAGAACAGCTGCTCTGTGCATTTCACAGCCACCAAATTTAACCCTCTCCACCTGCAGTAGGACATGGAAGCCATAATGAGCCCTGACTGAGTTAACAGATCTGCCTCCCCAGAACATTGAAAACCTTGGTGTCAGAGGCTGAAGAGGAAGAAATGGCTTCTACATTGATAGCTTTTGACTCGAGGGCCATTATTTCCCATGCATGGAGTCTGTGTGGTTGGCCTCAAGGACACCATCCTTTCTGAAGGATAAGACCTTGACTTTGTATAGCTGAACCCTATTTCTCTGTCACCTAGGCATATTAAAAGCCTAAGCAGGAAGTTTGAGGCTACAAGGAAACTTAAGAAGTGAAAAAAGGAAAACTTTCCCCAAGCAGACCTGAAGTCAGCATTACATTAAGCCTTGATAATAGTGGAATTTCATAGTGAGAACTATTTAACAACTTTCTTTAGTTATTTCTTTGAAATATTACTGTGATTAAGTCACAGTAACTACTGTGAGAAGTCATATTTAACTTAATTATTAGAAATGTTAATATAAAAATGTATAATTATAAGTGACAGGTATGTTTAAGCATGTGCCCCATTCAGACCTCTTGCTACCACTGGGTGGGTGGTGCTTCAAAAAATTTGGTAGGTTCAGAAATTTCAAAAAGCAGCAACTATGAGAAAGGGGCCCATGATGGTGGGGTATCAAGTGGTGTTGGACCTGAGCTTCAGAGGACAGGAGACTAGCATTGCCTCTAAAGAGGTTTTCATTTCTCTTAGTCATGCGGCCTGCAATTCTGGCAGATGTCTCAACCCAGTGCCTTTAATGACCAGCCAGAGACATCACATTTATATTTTTAAAAGAAAAACTACTAGAGTTGCCAAATGAAATATGTATAGACTGCCTCTAGACTAGAACCATTTAGGCTGAAGAATGAAGTGTGACTATTTCCAGGCATGTTGAAGTGGTTCTTTTTTTTTATGAAAAGAAATCTTATTATTACTTTATTACATAACCTATTAGTGAATACACCACATGGGATTTTCTTAAATGATGAATGAGGCACATTTCTGATTCCTCTGAGAACCTCGATGCCATCTGTCTTTTGGAGGGTCCAGTTTCTTACGACGTCTGTGATACTGTCTGTGAGGATACCAACTGTGCTTGGTAGTGAAGAACATTTGGCGAAGTTGTTCTATCATGGGTGCTTGTTCAAGGTGTTCACTTTTCTCTTCTAACCTGGATTTCAGCACTTGATCATGTGTTTCTTCATTATTATGCACAGGATCTGGTCTAGGGATAGGCTGTGTGTGTTCATATGGAATATCCACAGATGGGTGGTAGCACACTATCATCCTGCCATCAGATGTCAAAGCAAGCTCCACTTTGCAATTACAGTCATCTGGAAGAGAAGAATATGTAGATTTATGACAGACACAATATGAAGCTCCATTTTGGGTTGGAAGGAAATGTTCCAAGATGGTTGTCTCTGATATCACACATTTTATCGCTGCTACTGCCATGGTGAATCAAGAGGCTTCTTAGGTGGCACAAAAAAAGTTGTTCCAAAGAAATTGCTTTAAAAATCTGCTTTTAGACAAACTGCTTTTCAACCCTTGACAGATCATCACTGCGAGCCCGCCATCTTGTTTCTGAAGTGGTTCTTCAAAGTCCCTTACTATACTCAGATGCACAGTGACTAGCTGTGGCTGTGTTGTGTAGTGTTGTATCTGGAACATGGCCACGATGGCAGAGCTCACCACAGGGCGCCAGCTCCCGAGTGACTTGAGTCATTGTTGAAACTGTGACTTGACAAATTCATAGTCTACTGTCATAGGTACTTTTTTTTAAGAAAGTAAATATTGCCATTTAAGTACTTTCTAAAATGTTTTTAGATCTCAAAGACGGAATTAGAGTGGTTCCTGCAAGATTTGGAAAAAGAAATTAAAAAATGGCAGCAAGAGAAAAATGAAATCCAAGAAAGACTAAAAGCACTGAAGAAGAAAATTAAAAAGGTTTTAAATACCAGTGAAATGTAAGTAATAATTGAAAGGCAGTCGTTTTTACTGTTTTTAAATACCATATTTTTAGTTATTTACACATTTTTGATACTTCATTTCGAACTATGTCAAGTAAAGTTAAAAAGCATAGATACTTTTTTTCTGAAGTGTTTTATCTCATTTTATTTATTTTTATTTTTTAAAAATAATTATTTAATTAACTAATTATTTATTTATTTTTCAATTTGACCAGAGAGAGAAAAAGTGAGAAAGCAAGCCTCCAGGTCCAGGACTTGAACTGTGGTCAGCCATGTGGGAGTCCAGCGCTTTAATCACCACACCACTGGCAAGCCCCACTTTTATCTCATTTTAAAAAGCACCCCTCAGGTCCATCAGGTGGCATGGTAGTGGGCACTGGACTCTCACATGACCGACCATGGTGTGAGTCCTGGACCTAGCAACTTGCATGCATGCGTGCGCGCTCACTTTCTCTCTCTCACTAACTCACTCTGTCCCTCTCTCTTTTTGTGTGTGTGTGTGTGTGTGTGTGTGTGTGTGTGTGTTTGTTTAAATTAATTAATTAATTAATTCTTTAAAAAATAAATAAAATAAAAAGCACCCCTGAGGACCAGGAGATGGCGTAATGGTTATGTCACTAGACTCCCACATAGTTGACTACAGTTTGAGTCCGGGACCCAGTGGCTTCAAATTCAGGCTGGGTATGTATGCGTGCGTGGCCAAAATCCCAAGTGGAGAACAAAGGAGAGAGTTTTGCATCATGGCCATCCCCCACTAGGGGGTAATTTCTGGCTTTTTTTCTCTCTGTCTCTCTGCCAAGTGCAGGTGCCCTATAGCAAAAATCTCTTTATAAAAAAGCACCCCTGGAGGGACCAGCAGATGGTGTAGCAGTTACATTGCTGGACTGTCACATGGCTGACAACGGTTCAAGTCCCAGATCTGGAGGCTTGAAACTCATGCTGGGTACATGTGCATGTGTACCCAAAATCCCTAGAGGAGAATGGAGAAGGGATTACAACATGGCCATCCCACTTTCAGGGGGGAATTTCTCACTTTCATCTGTCTGTTTTGTTTCTCTGGTGAGTACATGTGCCCTATAGCAAACCTCTTAAAAAAAGAAAAGAAAAGAAAAGAAAAAGCACCGCTGGAATTATTATCACACCTAAAGTTTTTCCTCAGCCTACCATGTTTTCAGATAAAGTATATGAAAATGGGAGTAGTGTGGGAATTGGAGTCAACCAAGAACGGGTTCCTTCTGGTGTGAATACTACCCATTACCATGAACGTTACCTTTGAACCTTTTCTTTCTTATTGGTAAAATGAGAGGCCAGACTGGATCTGAGATTCTTTCTACTAAAATTCTATAATGATTTATAGTTACTTTCATCTTTTTTTTTTTTTTAAGATTTTTGCCACAGGGCATGTACACTATCTGGAGAAGACAGAGATGGGGAATGGCCATGCCACATCCCCTTCATTCTCCTTCTAGGATGCTGGGCACACACACACACACACACAAACACACACACACACACGCACCCAGCATGATTTTCTTTCTTTTTTTTTTTTTGAGAGGTTTTTGCCATGGGGCGCATGCGTTCTCCAGACAGACAGAGAGAGACAGAAAGTGAGAAATCACCCCCCAGGGGAGACGGCCATGCCGTAATCCCTTCTCCTCCATTCTCCTCTTGGGATCTTGGGCACACACGCACATGCGCCCGGCGTGAGTTTTAAGCCACCGGGTTCGGGACGTGAACTGTGGTCGACTACATGGGAGTCCAGCAGCATAGTCATTACGCTTACTGCTGGTCCCTATCTCCAGCATGATTTTCAAGCTGTCGGATCTGGGACTTGAACCTTGGATGACCATGTGGGACTTGAACCATGGTCAACCATGTGGGAATACAGTGCCTTAACCACCATGCCACCTGCTGGCCTCCATCCTGAATCTTTAAATTACTGAAATTTTGTCTCGTGTGAGGGATTTAGTAATACATAGTGATCCTGTGCATAATTGTCAGATGGGCACAGTGTGTTTTAAAATATTCTATGATCTACTCCTTACCTCCCTTTGCTTTAAAAAGTGATGTGTCATGTCACTTCTCAGATTGTTACCTAGTGCTATGTTACAGAACACCCAAAACTCAGTGGCTGGGACCAGTAGTTAGCGTGATGGCTATATCACTGAACTCCCATGTAGCCGAATGTGGTTCGAGTCCCAGACCCTGTGGCTTAAACTCACGCCAGGCGCGTGTGCATGCGTGCCCAAGATCCCAGGAGGAGCATGGTGGAGAAGGGGTTGCAGCGTGGCCATCTCCCCTGGGGGGTGATTTCTCGCTTTCTATCTCTCTGTCTCTCTCTGTCTTTCTGGGAGGGCATGCACCCTATAGCAAAAACCTCTCCGAAACAACAAGAACAACAACTCAGTGGCTTAAGTTAACAGCCTTTTTACAATATCTGCTCATTATCTCGCCTCTCGGCTAAGTTCAGCTGGGCCATTCCTCTGCTGGTCTTGCCAGTCATCCCTAAACATGGCTGTAGTTAGCTGGGGCTGGGCTCAGCCAGAATGCTGGAGTGATATGGCCTCTTAATTAGTCTCCTCTACATGTAGCCTTTCCTTGTGACTTGGCATCTATATGGTCTTCCAGCATTCTGGCCTCTAGCATGCTGGTCAGTCTTCTTCAGTGGTTTCTAAGACTCCTAGGGGTGTAGAAGTAGAGGCTGGCTGCCAGGCCTTCTGAGAGAGAGTTCAGGCCCCAAACTGTCACAGCATCATTTCTTCCACATTCTGCTGCTTGAAGCAAACCACAGGCCTCGCATGAGTAATGGGGAGCCTGTATGGGGGGGCCACACCATACATTCACTTTTCGACGGCAATTTTTATTTTTCTGTCACGTTCCATGCCATATGACCAGATGATTTAATTATGAGTCTTGCTAGCATTACATTTGGGCAGTTCATAAGAGAATGAAGAATAGTAAATACTGTCTTCAGAATTTTCACTCCCAGGGCGGCAGGTGGTATAGTGGTTAAGGTGCTAGTTTCCCACACAGCAAAATGTGGAAGAAATGATGCTGTGACAGACAGACAGACAGAAAGCGAGAAATCACCCCCCCGGGGGGATGGCCATGCTGCAATCCCTTCTCCTCCATCCTCCTCTCAGGATCTTGGGCACGCACGCGCATGCACCCGGCATGAGTTAAGCATGAGTTTAAGTCTGGGACTCGAACTGCGGTCGACTACATGGGAGTTCAGCCACATAGCCATTACTCTAACTGCTGGTCCCCATATATTCTTGTTTTGACTGAGAACCACTGGTTTTACTGATGACAATGCTATATACCCGTGCTCTCTGTCTTGTGTTGAAACCATCTTGAGATGCACTTCTTGGGCTGAGGAAGGGGTAATTTTCCTGTAAGCCAATGACTCAGAGTGAAGAAAAAGGTGATCTGCTTCTGGAAAACTTTCTAAAAGGAAAATGGCCCCAAATTCTTTGTGTAGAAGATACTAGAAATGAAACAAAATGTAAAAAAGAAGTTCAAGAAATGTTTGTATGGATATGGGTGGAATTTACTCTGTAAGATCATGTTTTAAAAATCTTTGAGAATTCATTAAAATTTGGTAATTTTGCTTTTCTAGGTATACAGAGAAAAATAATGGAAATGATACAGAACATGAATTACATCTGGATCAGTCACTTGAAACCAGGCAAGTAAAACTTAAATTTTATGTCTTATACTTTTAATACCAGAGGGACTAGAACACTGGATTTCTGAATATAGTGTTACCTCTCTGTTTTGTTTAAATAATTATGTTTCTATTTTATTTCTATTTAATATTTAAATTAATAATTAAGTATATTTTTTAAAAACACTAAGTATTTTTATTTTACAAGGTTTTTGTTTTTATTTTCTATTGTCAGTATAAGAAATCCTGAATTTATTTGTTGTCAATTATTCCTTTTTGGGGACCAGCAGTTGGCGTAATGGCTATGTTGCTGAACTCCCATATAGTTGAACGTAGTTCCAGTCCTGGACCCGGTGGCTTAACCTCACACCAGGCGTGTTTATGTGCATGCCCAAAATCCCGAGAGGAGAATGGAGGAAAAGGGATTGCAGCGTGGCCATCCCCCCGGGGAGTGATTTCTTGCCTTCTGTCTCTCTTTCTCTCTCTGTCTTTCCAGCGAGCACACACACTAGCAAAAACCCCATTAAAAAAAAAAAAAAAAAAAATTACTCCAATTTTTCTTTACCCTGAAACTAAAAATGTGTTTAACAAACTTTTCTTTTGGGTTACTTGAAGTCCTAGTCTCAACTCTAGAGTAGCGGTTTATTGGTCTTATTGCTATGTAGTTATAGGTCCATTAAAGAATTTTATTTGAATCTATAAAGTTTCTTTTTAACCTTTGTTAGTAGAAACGATGTGTTTCACCTACTGGTAACCAGTCTACTCATGGTCAAAGCTGTATTCTGTTTCTCTCATTCACTGCTTTTTATGTACATTTCCATTCCCACCTTGGCCAAGGTCTTTTTTTTTTTTTTTTTTAGTTTTGCTATAGAGCACGTGCACTTGCCAGAAAGAGACAGACAGAAACGGGAAAATGAGAAACCACTCTCTGGGTGGATGACCATGCTGCAGTCCCTTCTCCTTCATTCTCCTCTTAGGGTTTTGGACATGCGTGCACATGTGCCTCTTATGATTTTCAAGCTGTGGTTCCAGGACTCGAACTGTGCAGTAGGCCCTGTGATTTATGCACATTTTCTAGCTGTCGTAAGAGTACTGTCATGATTAATTTTGGTTTTGTTTTTGTTTTGCCATAGAGTGCATGCATTTGTAGGAGAGAGACATTGAGAGGGAAAGTGAGAAACCACCCTTAATCCTGCCTCCCTAAAATAGCCACTCTTTTTCCTTATCTTTGTATAGATTTTAAATTTTTTTTACCTTTACGCTTGTGTCATTACATAGATATACTCCAGATTTTGTGAGAAAGTGAGAAATCACCCCCCATGGGGGATAGCCATGGCTGTAATTCCTTCTCCTTCATTCTCCTGGGATTTGGGGGCATGCACACACATGCACCCAGCGTGATTTTTCAGGCTGCTAAGTCCGGGACTTGAACCGTGGTCAGCCACACGGGAGTCCAGCAGCTTAACTACTATACCACCTGCTGACTCCACCTTGAATAATTTTGAATAGATCACTTTTTTCCTTTTGCTGATTTCCTTGTAACAAAGCATCAAAGTAGAATTTCTGGCTTAAAGGATGAGGGAAAGACGTTTTGAGCGAATGCGGTGCCCTCATCATTTCTCAGCCTTCCCCACAAGTGCTCGCTTTCAGTGTCTTGTCTACCTTTGACCATTTGTAAAGCGCAGAGTGTGTTATGTAGTAAAATAAGAGACCAGTTTTTTGTTTTTTTTTTAGTTTTGCTATAGAGCACGTGCACTTGCCAGAAAGAGACAGACAGAAACGGGAAAATGAGAAACCACTCTCTGGGTGGATGACCATGCTGCAGTCCCTTCTCCTTCATTCTCCTCTTAGGGTTTTGGACATGCGTGCACATGTGCCTCTTATGATTTTCAAGCTGTGGTTCCAGGACTCGAACTGTGCAGTAGGCCCTGTGATTTATGCACATTTTCTAGCTGTCGTAAGAGTACTGTCATGATTAATTTTGGTTTTGTTTTTGTTTTGCCATAGAGTGCATGCATTTGTAGGAGAGAGACATTGAGAGGGAAAGTGAGAAACCACCCTTAATCCTGCCTCCCTAAAATAGCCACTCTTTTTCCTTATCTTTGTATAGATTTTAAATTTTTTTTACCTTTACGCTTGTGTCATTACATAGATATACTCCAGATTTTGTGAGAAAGTGAGAAATCACCCCCCATGGGGGATAGCCATGGCTGTAATTCCTTCTCCTTCATTCTCCTGGGATTTGGGGGCATGCACACACATGCACCCAGCGTGATTTTTCAGGCTGCTAAGTCCGGGACTTGAACCGTGGTCAGCCACACGGGAGTCCAGCAGCTTAACTACTATACCACCTGCTGACTCCACCTTGAATAATTTTGAATAGATCACTTTTTTCCTTTTGCTGATTTCCTTGTAACAAAGCATCAAAGTAGAATTTCTGGCTTAAAGGATGAGGGAAAGACGTTTTGAGCGAATGCGGTGCCCTCATCATTTCTCAGCCTTCCCCACAAGTGCTCGCTTTCAGTGTCTTGTCTACCTTTGACCATTTGTAAAGCGCAGAGTGTGTTATGTAGTAAAATAAGAGACCAGAAGTTACCCTAGAAGATGAGGTGTCTTTTCACAGCATGGTTTCCTAGCTAACCTGGCCTGAAGCCTTTGTAGTCCTCAGTGGTTGCATTTTTTTCTCCTTAGCGTTTGCAATAACACATTCGCAAATGAGAAGATGAAGCTGGATGAGTGTATAAAGAAAGGGAAGGAGCAGTGCGAAGAGAGTCACCAAAGAGCTGTGGCTGCAGAGGTGGGTCCCGTACACGCGTGTGACGGTGGGTGTGGCAGGATGTCATCTCTTTGCTCTCATGTGTCTTTCATTACCTGTGAGACCTAACTGCATGACTCGGGTTTGGTGTGATAGTTAAGGAATTCCTTGTCTCCCTTAATCCTGCCTCCTTAAAATAGCCACTCTTTTTCCCTGCCTATCTATAGCTTTTTTATTTTTTACCTTTATGCTCGTGTCATTACTTAGAGGTACTCCAGATTTTGTAAACAACTTTTTCTGTATTTAACATGCTAATTCAGGCATTTCCCATACAGTTCACTGAGAAATAGCCTTATCGGACTGAGTCAAGTACATACCATGGAGTAGCCAACCGTAAGACATATTTGCCAGCACTTGAGGAACTTGAGTGTAATCTACTTTTTAAGAATATAATCCTCCCTCCCCATAGGAGAATATATGCCAGTGTCACTACACTGGTCAGAGATTACTGAGACAATTAACAAAATAATAATGACATCAGGTCGTGTTTTATTTAGCTCCTGAAACATGGTTGTCCATATTTTTCTCATTGAGAAATAAATGATATTTATTGGTATGTGTGTCTATGATTATTCTGAGAAAATAAGAAAAGGCTCAGCATAGGCAGTCTGCTAACATTAGGCTTCTAGCTAAATATCTACCCTGCAGCTGCTTTGGAAGAAAGACCCAAAGTGCAATACAGTCCTGTCATGTAATGGGGATATGTTCCGAGAAGTGCGTCTTTAGGTGATTCTGTCATTATACATACGTCACAGAGCAGACGTACACAGATCCAGATGGTCTAGCCTGCGGCACATCTGTGAGCTAGAGCCTGTGGCCTTTAATGGGATCGCTGTCACATATGTGGTCTGTCACTGACCGGGACATCATTATACAATATGTGGCTATACCGCGTGGGTCCCACACATACATCTGTATTTCTGAGCGTGTTCAGTTCACATTTACCACAGTTGGCAAGCAGGTTTCCCTAGTGGGGCCCTGGTGTAAAAGATTATCAACAGCTGGATTAAAGTTAGACTGTTCTTTGTTTCCTGCAGTGATTCTTACAAAAATGGCCAGTTGGCTGGCGGGGAAACCAGAGTTTAAAATTTTTAAAGTGTGCCCCAGAGGCTTTTGATGCCTGTTCCAAAAACAGCTGCTCTGAAGCTTTTTAGTTAGAGAGGGTGCAGCCTCAGCGTTGCTCTGTGAGCCTGTGTCGCCTGCTCACCGTGGACAGGCCCGTAGATAACTCACGCCAGGTGTGTGCACGCAGTTCACCTGGCTCTGTGCCTGCGTGTTCTAAGCAGAAGCCGTGTGTCCCATTTCATATCTGTGAAACAGATCACGTAGGTACATGATTTTAGTGTCATTCTGTTACTCCGTTTTCAAATCCTGACGTTTTAATTCATGTTCATCTGGGTGGAGTTATAAAATAGTCAAGTTCTGGTGATTCTGTCATCCTCTCTCATTTAAGGAGAAACTGGAAAATGGTTTAGAATATTCAGGTTTTGATCCTTAAAATGGCTTCAAGGCTTCATTTATAAAACACTTAAATGTCCTGTGATCTACTGATAGGTATCTGTGCTTGAAAACTGGAAGGAGAGCAAAGTGTTTAAGCTACAGATCATGGAGTCACAAGCAGAGGCCTACCTGAAGAGCCTGAAGCTAGTGAGCAGGTAACATGGCCTGACGGCTGCTTTCTCTGCATGTCATTAAAGAAACAAAACCAGAACTGCTTACGAAATTAAACTTTTTTTTTTTAACTGTTTGGATCATTATACAAAATCAGTTGTAAAATCAAAACAAAAATTATGAAATCGTCCAGCTATAACTTGCTAATATTTTGTAATAAATTTGTTAAGAATTTGAACATTTGTTTACCTGTTTTTTCAGTAAATAGTATAAATTTCTTCAGCCTAATTTGAAAGGTTGAATAGTGTTTCAGCATATGAACATACCCTACTTTATCCAATACCGTGTGGTATGATAGTTGAGTTGTGGCAAGTTTTTGTTGATATAAGATGTACTGCAGTATGATAAGATCTGCATATGCATTGTTAGTCATTTCTATGCAGTAAAGATCACATTTTCAAGACTTCTTAAACTTTTTTGTCAAATTGTTTTCTATAGTAGCTATTATTTAATAGTCTCCATCGCAGAGACTGGGAGTCAGTATGAAGGATAATCACATACGTTATATTTTTTTCTACTGCCCATAATCTTTATCTGTTTTTGTTTTAGAATCAGGTTTACTTGGGAATCCTAGAGGGTCTTCCTCAGCTTAGCACTCAGCTCTTCTCCGTGTGTTTTCACACATGGGAAAACTGTTCTAAACCCTTTTTATACTTTTCATGTGGTCCATCTGTCATGTTCCCCACACAGGTTTTGTGATTTTAATCTGAAGTCCTTTACTCTTCCTGCTACTACTACTATTTTATTCAAATTTCAAACCTTTAGAATTGAACAAGAGATTGTATGGGCAGTGTGAAAGCAGTTTTAGTGTATAGGTCTTTATTTCTTAATTTTCAAGATTTAATTCTTTTAAAGAATTATTTTATTTAACTTTGTTAAAGCAAGCCACCAGATCCAGGACTTGAACAGCAGCTGGTCATGTGAGAGTCCAGTGTCTTTACCCACCACACCACTTGCTGGCCCCCAAGATTTAATTTTTTATGGGAAAATGTTTCCAGTGAAAGTTAAACTAACAAGCCGACTCGGGTTCCAGGACTAGGGCAGCTGGGCTGAGACGGAGGGGTGCCCCTGCGCCTGTAGGAAGCACTGAGCCCAGGCTGTCTGCACGGTGGCTTTTCTGACGAGCAGAGAGCTCAACGCTCATTTACCAAATAGTATTGACTTCCTTCCACTGAGCTTCCTAGCAAGCTTAGATTCTTTCTTGGGGATGCTATGCTTACTCTGCCTGTTCCTGGCAAGAGAAAAGGTACAAAAGGAATGTTCTAGTTTTTCTTAGTGTGTGATAGAACAGATCATCACAGATTGACGGTGTTACTGAGCTTCTCCATTATGAGTCTTAAGTTTGCCTGTCTCTTTCAGTAGATCAGATTCATAATGTCCTGAGATGATAAATTTGTCTTAATCTGTCAGGCCCCATTCTTTATACTTACGATACAGTAGAAGTTAGGAATTTATGGAAATGTTTGAAATGCCCAGGTTTCCGATTTTAATTCTTTTAAATGCAAAGACAGCCTTTAATGGTAAACAAGATGTCAAATGAAGAATGGTCAAGTTTTCAAATTTGGGGAGAGAAATGATAATTCAGAAGAATATTTTTCCTCTGCCCACCAGTTTTGGGGTCTTTATATTTTATATTAGTCATTAAAATTTCCTGAAGTGTTTCTAGTGGCAAGTTTGTAAGATAACACAATACTTTTAAAATAGTTGTTCCTTTTTTCCCTGTATGATAATGTTTAAATGTGCATTTTTGTTTTTACCTTAGTGCTTTTAATTTTTAATTTCTAAAGTGGATATAAGCATTTTATATTTTTATACTTTTTCAGTGATTCTGCAGCTCATCCAAACATGGAATCTGATATACATTCATGGGAATCCTTTCTTTCTAATGTTACAAAAGAAATTGAGAAAGCAAAGGTAAGTTATAAAAGAAACATTTTTTTTTTTGAGAGATTTTTGCTATAGAGTGCGTGTGCTCACCAGAAAGACAGAGAGAGACAGAAAGCGAGAAATCACCCCAGAGAGGGGATGGCCACGCCGCAATCCCTTCTCCATTCTCCTCTTGGGATCTTGGGCACGCATGTATACACTCCCAGCGTGAGTTCAAGCCACCAGGTCTGGGACTTGAACTGCACTTGACTACATGGGAATCCAGCACCATAGCCATTATGTGAACTGCTGGTCCCAAATAATACATTATACTTCTGTCAAAATCTTTGTGATGGTTATGCTGTCATATTAAAACTTTCTTTTCTGGGAACCAGCAGTTAGTGTAATGGCTATGTCGCTAGACTCCCACGTAGTCGACTGCGGTTCCCGTCCCGGACCCAGTGGCTTAAAACTCACACCGGGCGCATGTGCGTGCGTGCCCAAGATCCCAAGAGGAGAATGGAGAAGAAGAGATTGCGGCGTGACCATCCCCCCTGGGGGGGTGATTTCTTGCTTTCTGTCTCTCTGTCAGTCTGGCGAGTGCACGCACCCTATAGCGAAAACCTCTCCGAAAAAACTTTCTTTTCTGACCTGCTAATGGCAATAGCATGTTTTTTGTTCAAGTTACTAGGATTTTTTAATAAAAGTCTTATTTTTCTTCATTAACTGTCTTAAACTCTGCCCTAGATTGATAATAGTAGAGAACTTATGTTTGATGTTATAAAGTATTCTGATTAATGAGGTGAGCTTTGCACAGTGGCAGTATCGTAGCCAATGAGGTTTATCCGAGGCGCGATTATTGCTAATTGATTAATGAGGTGTTACTTTGAACTTGTTTCTGTGTTAGGAGTAATTGTTTTAATACTTGCATCTTGGAAAATTGTCAACCATTTGTAGTATAGAGTAAAGAAAAAGGTATTAATTGATATTTGTGATTTTCCCCCCTTTGGAATTTATTTGAAAAACTTAATACTTTCCTTTCTACTCATAGTCTCAATTTGAAGAACAAATTAAGGCAATTAAAAATGGTTCTCAGCTCAGCAAACTTCCTGAAGTGCAGATCTCTGAGCTTTCATTTCCTGCCTATGCCAGGGTAAGTGTATTACATAATGAACCATAGTCGTTCTGAACTGGCCAAAGTAGTCGTTTGTTGTTGTTTTCTGACACTGAGGAGGGCGAGGATTAATAATTACCTTAATGTTTTTGTTATTGCTGCTACTGGTTAACCTTTTAAGCTTTAAAACATTCTTTTTTTTTTTTTTTTGGTTTTTTTTTGGAGACATTTTTGCTATAGGGTATGTGCGCTCGCCAGAGAGACAGCGAGACAGAATGCGAGAAATCACTTCCCGGGGGGATGGCCATGCCACAAGCCCTTCTGCTCTAGTCTCCCCTTGGGATCTTGGGCACGCACGCACGCACCCGGCGTGAATTTAAGCCGGCAGGCCCGGGACTCGAACCACGGTTGACTACATGGGAGTCCAGCAACATTACGCTAACTGCTGGTCCCTTTTTTTTTTTTTGAGAGGTTTTTGCTATGGGGTGCGTGCACTCGCCAGGAAGACAGAGAGAGGCAGAGAGACAGAAAGCGAGAAATCACCCCCCCAGATGGCCACATCGCATTCCCTTCTCCTCCATTCTCCTCTTGGGATCTTGGGCATGCACGCACACATGCCTGGTATGAGTTTAAGCCACCGGGTCCAGGACTCGAACTGAGGTCGACTACATGGGAGTTCAGTGACATAGCCATTACGCCAACTGCTGGTCCTAAAACATTCTTATATAAATAAAAGAGCCATCTTTTTACGTCTGTATATGAGGACAGGGCTAAGACAGATACACTGTTGGTACAATCTGTTGTGTTTACTTAGCTTATCTTGTTTTTTCCCTGGATGCTGCAGGGTGTGTGTGTATGTGTGTGTGTGTGTGTAGTCCTGCATTTGAGCAAGTAACCCAGGAGTAGCAGGTACCTCTGTACTCTGACCACAGGGGATTATATTCATTCTTACATGTTTGTTTCGGGGCATAGAACCAGAATCTAAAACTTACGATCTGTTTCCTCATCAAATATGGAGGGGAAGAAGGAAAAAACAAAAAAAAAGCACTATCCTTGAGACATACAAGGCTTTGTTGGTCTGGCGTGTCGTATCTTACTTGTAGTTTGGAATACTTGCTGAATCTTTTGAATAATAATGATTGCCAGACCTTATCTTTTTATTTTAAACTATGCAGCATGGTAAAGAAAAGTATTATATTTTGTGGACTTTATAATATGGCTAGGTCTGGTGTTACCTTAGTGTATTCTGGGATACATATTTCTTAAATTTAGACATAAGCGCCATTCAGTGAATTAGGCCCAAAGGAGATCAGACTGTGAAACTTTGCAGAAGGACTCTGTTCCGGAGTTGACTGGAGATAGGTTTCAGAATATTTCGGTGCAACATTGAAATCTTCTGGTTTGTAAGGACAGGAGACTGTTGTCCTCAGCACCTGATTTACACTTTCCTGCTGTTGCCAGACCTGTGCCTGGGCTGTTCCCAGCCTGGAACACCACCCTGGCCCTATGGGCAGCCTTCCCGGAGCACTCGGGCAGGGGCTGCGCTCTATTGGCCCTCCCCCAGGACTCCATCCTGTGCGTTAGGTCTCCGTTGGATGGGTGCTCCTTCCTCAGCCTAGTCTAGCGTCTCTCTCCCACCAGGACCTTGCACACTAAGCATTCAAACTTACTGCAGATTCATCCACAACAATATTTGTATGACCACCTTAAACTGAGTGGAACATTCTGTTGAAATCCAAAGTTTTGGGGTTTCTATTTTTTTGGGGGGGAGATGTTTTTGCTATAGGGCACGTGCACTCACTCGCCAGAAAGGCAGAAAGAGACAGAGAGACAGAAAGCGAGAAATCACCCCCCAGGAGGATGGCCACGCTGCAATTCCTTCTCTATTCTCCTTTCAGGATCTTGGGCACACACACACAAGCGCCCGGCGTGAGTTTTAAGCCACCAGGTCTGGGACTCAAACCGTGGTCAACTACATAGGAGTCCAGCAACGTAGCCATTATGCTAACTGCTGATCCCCCAAAGTTTTTTGGTTTTTTTTTTTCATAATTTTTTTTTTTCTTGGCTGTGGTTTCAGTGGATAGTAGGTAAGGACAGTGGGAATCTCGTTCATCCATCTCCCAAAGTTTTTTTCTCTTCATAGAAAATATTTTTTTCTCTCCATTGTAACTAAATTAGAAATAGAATTTTATTTAGAATTAAGGATCACCTTTCATTTACAGTTTTTCAAAGTTCCTGTAGCAGATACAGAGAGGAAAAAACTGGATCTCAATAGAATATTTTAGAATTAATCTGTAATTTTAGTGTAAGCGATTTTATAAATATTCAAGAATATTCATGTCCCAAATCCCCAGAACGCTCTGCATGGCAGGAACTTGAGTGACATGTGGCCCTGAAATCCTTTCCTTGGTATCCCATCTCCCCTTTCTTCATTGTTGAGTATTCCGTGGTGCCGAAGGTCAGGCGAGGGCTGCATCTTGAAGTGTACGTGGGCTTGGGAAGGACAGCCTTCAACACAGAATTACAAGCGAGCCTCTGAGGTTTTCCACACCGGAAGGTGCCTGCAGCATATCTAGAGTGTTCTAGATGGAAGAAATAGCGTATTTGGAGACTAGAAGGAAAGCTGCAGAACCCATTCTGTTCATGGCTGTCAAGAACTGAGTATGACGAAGGGGGCTCTCCATTGGGCTATTGGAGAAATCATGACATATTTTTTCTATGCAAAAATGCATCATGACTTTTCCAACAACCCAGTAGAAGAGCCGGGGACCAGAATCAAGGGAGCCCTGTTCTGTGAGCCATGGCAAGTAGTCTGGATTTTTCCCCTGATCACTAGGACACAGGTATAGGTTTCGAGTCAGAGAACAGCAACATATTCATATGCTGTAGCAGTGTTGACAGCAGTGAGAAGTGGCTACAGAGGGCTGGAGTTCTTTTCAGCTGCCAGCTCTAAGCTTCTGCCATCAGCCATATCCTAGATGAGGGGTTGGAGGTCAGGGGAGAGAACAGATCCAAGAGGTATTTAGGAGGTACAGTTGTACTGTACTGTGGCATTGTGAGGAGTGGGAGGAGTTGAGGGGGAAGTCCAGGGTCCTGCCTATGGGTGGGCACCAGGGGAGAAGCAGGTTCCAGGAGACTGAACTGGGGCTGGCTCGAGCTTGACAAGTTTGAGTGGCCGTACAATCACCAAGTGGATTTGCAGATTTGAAGCTCAGGAACATTTCCAGACTGGAAAATTTTTAAAAGTGAGCCCTGAGGCCAGCAAATGGTGTGGTGGTTAAGGCACTGGATTCCACCTGGCCAATCAGTTTGAGTCCTGGACCCGGAGGCCTGGAAATCACACCAGGTGTATGTGCATGTGTGCCCAAAATCCTGAGAGGAGAATGGAGGAGAAGGGATTGTGGCGTGGCCATCCCCCCTGGAGGGTAACTTCTCACTTTCCCTCAGTCTGTCTCCGATGAACACATGTGCCCAAGGGCAAAAGCCTAAAAAAACAAAATAATAGAAGTTGAGTGCTAATCAGCACGGAGCACACAGTCACTGAGCCTGAGAGAATGTGACATGGCCTGGGGATAATGTGGCATGTAGAGCTTAGCAAGCCCGAGGAAGAAACAGTGGCACGGAGCTGTTTGAGGATGAGGAGATGGGAACCAAGAACACCTGAAGCCAGCTCTGCGGGGAGGGGAGGGGTGTTGGGACAGCCGGCACTGGATTCCCACATGCTGACCGTAGTTCGAGTCCCAGACCTGGCGGCTTGCTTTCTCCCTTTCTCTTTCTGGTCAAATTAACAATAATAAAAATAACAAATGAAAATAAATAATTCTTTTTTTAAAAAAAAGGAAGTCCAAGTTGTATTCTTATTTTAGCACCTAACAAGTTATAGTCAGTAACTTTTTCTAAAGAATTTATTTAACTTCATTTTTTTTTTCAGTTTGCTGCAGGGTATGTGTGTTCACTAGAGAGATGGAGAGATGGAGAGGGAGGATGGGAAAGTGAGAAAGTGAGCCACCAGGTCCAAGACTTGAACTGTGGTTGGCCATGTGGGAGTCCAGCACCTTAACCACCATACCATCTGCTGGCTCATAATAATTCTTTTTTTTTAAGAATTACTTTATTTAATTTTATTATAATTTGAACAGAGAAAGACAGAGAGAGAGGGGACATGAAAAAGCAAGCTGCCTGGTCCGGGACTCAAACCACAGCCATGAGGGAGTCCAATGCCCCAACCACCATGCTATTTGACAGCCCCAGTAATTTTTTAAGAGACATTTTTGCCTTAGGGCTCATGGCCAGAGAGAGAGACAGACAGACAGACAGTGAGAGGGGAAGTGAGAAATCACCCCCCAGGGAGGATAACCACGCTGCAGCCCCTTCTCCTCCATTCTCCTCGTGGGATTTTGGGCACACATGCACATCTGGTGTGATTTTTGAAGCCACTGGGTCCAGGACGCGAACTGCAGTTGGCCACGTGGGAATTCAGCAATATAACCACTAATGTAACCACTATGCCATCTACTGACCACCCAGTAATCCTTTTAAAACAAGAAAATCCACTATGTTTGAGTTTGCTGTGCACTAGAGCACAGACCTCCTTGTAGTCGTGGTTACCCATCATTTTCTGCCCTTGGACATTTCTCCTGACTCAGAGCAGACCTCAGTGATCCGCCTCTGTGGTTCCTTCACAGGTTTGTCCCGAGGTAAATTCCAAGTCATCACACACTGATGATCGAGGGACTGGGACTTCCACAGGCAACGAGACTGGACACCAGACAGCAGCTCACAAGAGTTCGAGTCTGCTTTCTGCTGGTTATCGCCCAGTTGAAGCTGCTGCTGCACCATTGCCAGTGTCACCCTCTCATGAGCGTGAAGTCACTCGGCTGCCAGCACCTAGAAGAGCTGCCCAGGCGGCTCTGTCAAAGCACAGCCCTGAGATGGATCAGAAACTACCTGCTCCTCCAGGACATGCTGCTCGTTCAAGCCAGTCTCCAAAAAAGTCATTCAACAGTATTATTGAGCACCTGTCAGCGGTATTCCCATGCCACAGCAGGTATGAGTACAAAATATCTGGATTCATTACATATTTCATTGAGCTGTGCTTTCTTGACCAGTTAAAATCACGGCCAGTTAGTTAGAGACTAAAGTGGAGAGGAGTACGTAGTTGTTTTGCTCAGAAAGTACATGCTACATTTCTTTCTTTTTGTAAACAAGAAGTAAACCTTTTCTGAACATGCATTGCTACAGTGTTAACACCGATCACTGGGTAATCAGCACTCATTAGAAACCTTGGCAGTTTGGTAGATTACTAAGATCGGGATGAGATCAGTGTCAGAAACCGGTTACGAATCAGTAAATGAACTGCAAAGCAATGGGGGAAACCACTTGTAGTAGAGAAGGCAGTAGCACGTTGTGCCTTGTTAGAGAAGATTTCTGATTTGTTAGAGGTGTGAAGTTGCAAAGATTAGATCAGATTCAATAATGAGTTGTGTGGACATATTTAAAAAGGTTCCAGTGAGTAAGGAGAAGAACTGCTGTTTCCTGGGTCAGCAGTTATAGTTAGGGTCTGGGTGGTTGCAGGTGCTCCAGGTGTTTCTGTCTCCACCTTTGGCCCTGCTCTCCAGGTTGGGGTGCCTTTGGGCTCAGTGGGTAAGTAGAGGCCATGTCTTTGGGGTGCAGCTGGGAGACAGAAAGCTGCACCTGGTGTGTTACTTCTGTCTCTAGGACAATGTTAATTACAGGCTTTGAAACTGAAATTTGGAAACAAAGTAGTTGTTAAAATGTGATTGGCCAGAATGGATGTTTCCTATCTATTGATGAAGTCCTGCCATTTGGAAATGAGTCTGTTCTGTCTGCACATGAGCATACTGCCCAGCCTAATTAGAGAAACATTGTAAGTTCTCGCAGTAGCAGTTATCCTGTCAGTTATAAAAATATGCTCATTGTAACTATGAGAAGTACCTATAAATAAAATTGTTTGTAATCCTGATTATATTTGCTAGCAGTTACAGTCAAATGGAAATGGCATCCTAATTTTCTGCAGATGAAAGCTGTGTGGGATATTGTAGTATAAACACGAAGTTCCTGTTGGCTAGGTATAACTCCCACCTGACATTAACTGTGAAACGTTTAGCCTTTGAACCTCATTGTTGGCTAGATTTTTCCAAAGGAAGTCGGCAAAACTTGGTTCCTCTTGGATAGAAGGGGTTTTGTTGATTTTGCACACCCAGTGGTGTGTCTGATGGTCCAGGGATTTCGCATAAAGGTTTGCTATAGCTAGGCTGTATGCAGTCAGTTTTCTAAATAGGACTGGATACCTCAAATGGATCTAGCAACTGTGCTGTTACTTTGAAATTCTATTGAAATAAATAATTTAGAAATACTGAAATTTTCTTAAATACTTGGAAAAAGCAGTTCTGCCTTAAAACTGTTTCGCTCTTCCTATACAATGAGTATTGTCATGTAGTCTTAACATTAATTCTGTGTGTGTGTGTGTGTGTGTGTGTGTGTGTGTGTGTGTGTGTGTGTTTTGGGTTGGGCTGGTGTGTTAATGCTGACATAGTATTTCTTAGTAGTAGAAAACTTGACTTTCTGTTTCATTTATCATCCTCTTTACCTTTCAGCACTGAGCTTGCTGGTTTCATTAAAAAAGTACGAAACAAAAACAAGAACTCACTCTCAGGATTGAGTATTGATGAAATTGTCCAAAGAGTGACAGAATACATTCTAGATGAACAGAAAAAGGAAAAGGTATTTTATCTGGAAAGAATAAAATGTTCCACTTCATCCTTACTTATTTATAAAATACAGGAATTTTTAAGAAATGCTTTAAATCAAGATGTAGAGAGCCGTTTACTAAAGATGAGATGGGTCAGGTAACTGAACCTCACTTCTCTCTTGTGTCCTCCACTCCCCAACCCCCATGTCTCTGCAGCCAAGTCCAGGAAAGGACAAGAGTACAGCTGCGCCCAGCTCTGCCGCTCCTGCGACCAGGCCCGCCTCCCAGGGCCCCCCCTTGTCAATAGTCAGACCTTCATCCAACACCAACGGCCAAAGGACAGAAGATGTTCCTGTGAGTGTTATATGTCTGGTTAGTTTTGTTTTTCATGAAGAAGAAATAACTTTTTAAAAATTTTCCTATAAAAGTTTCCTTGTGTGTTGACTAGAGAAAGAGATATAGAGGGAGGTTGGGAAAATGAGAAAGCAGCCCCCTGCCCTCTCCCCGACCCCCCGACCCCGGCCATGCTGCATTCTCCTCTCTTCCATTTCCATCTTGGAATTTGGGGCATACACACACATGTGCCAGCATGTTCCTTAAGCTGCCAGGTCTAGGACTTGAACCACATAGTCAGCCATATGGGATCCAGCTGCCTTAACTGCCACACCACTGTCTGTCCCTGAAGCAACATTTTTAATCCATGATTTAGTTTATTCTTTTCATTTCTAGATGTAATTTTTTGATTCTGACATTAGAAACCAATTTTTTAAAAAATTAAGTTTTTATTTTGTTTTGTTTTGAGGTTTTTGCTATAGGGCATGTGCACTTACCAGAAAGACAGAGAGAGACAGACAAAAAGTGGGGAGATGGCCACACTGCAATCCCTTCTACTCCCTTCCGTTGGGACCTTGGTCACGCACACACACGGGCCTAGCGTGAGTTTAAGCCACCGGATCTGAGACTCAAACTGTGGTCGACTACATGGGAGCCCGGTGACATAGCTATTACGCCAACTGCTGGTCCCGAGTTTATTTATTTATTTCTTCCCTGGCTGAGAGAAAGAGTCAGAGAAAACATACTCATCAAAGCCTTGACACCAAAGTCCACCCGCAGTCAGCCAACCCTGGGTCGTGGGTATTTGCATGCCCGGCATACCCAGGGTGTCTCTGGGTACAGACTGAGCCTTCCCATGTGGGTCAGCCTCACAAAACATTGCATTTTACCTCCGTGCCACCGTTCAGTCCCAGAAACCCAGTTTTGGTGTACTCAAACGTGTCTAGTTAAACCAGTCTGTGGATGGCTAAGGTGGTTGTATCTCTGCTCTGAGGAATGTCCCAGGGCCCAGCACAGCCACAGGCCCCTGCAGAGTAACAAGAGCTCTGACCACAGAGTTGCTGAGCCTTGCCTCCTGCCCTTGTTTTGTGGGAGATGGTCAGACGTGTTAATTTTTGTATGAAATGTGGCATTTTGAATGACTGGAGAGAATGATTTTTGAATAATGTTCTCCGTAGCCGTCGGTTGTGCAATCCCACAGACTTGGCTCCATCACACAGTAATGCTGAGCCTAGCCACTACCTGCTTGCCCGGCCACCAGCTGGTCAGTGCTGCAGTCCTGTGACAAGGATCCACACTGGACTTGAGAAAGGCTAGCTGCTGCCCTTTGCCTCTTCCAGCAAGTCCTGAGGAAGGCTTACCTGTCATTTGAAATGCTGATTTAAGTTGTGGGCTAGCCTTTTAGACTTAAGAGTGTTTTCATTTACATAGAACATTTTGTGAAATACTGTTATATCTTTTATCTGAATTGGTACAGCATTATAATTGTCTTTTTAGTAAGGAAATTGAGGCACAGATTGCTGTGAGCTTGCCAGCAGGCGTGGAAGTAGATCAGAGCAAACTCTTTTTTTTTTTTTTTTTTTAAGAGAGGTTTTCGCTATAGGGCATGTGCACTCACCAGACAGAGAGAGAGAGAGACAGAGAGACAGAAAGCAAGAAATCACCCCCCCAGGGGGGATGGCCATGCCACAATCCCTCCTCCTCCATTCTCCTCTTGGGATCTTGGGCACGCACATACACGTGCCCGGCGTGTTTTAAGCCACCGGGTCCGGGACGCAAACCGTGGTCAACTACGTGGGAGTCCAGCGACATAGCCATTACGCTAACTGCTGGTCCTAGAGCAAGCTCTTGACTTGTGGGTGGCACATCCTTCCCTCGTCTTCGCCATGAGAACCAGCTTGCTGGGGACCACGCAGTCAGTGTTACATGTGTGGTTAAAAGAGGGCCTGTCACCTGTGTGGCTCTAGCTGGGGTTTCCAGGTGGGATTCTGGTATAGGGCACATTTTCCTTTTTGTCCAGTCATGGTGTTCAAGTGTAGATGACATCAGTGTTACTGGGGCAGCAGGCCCTTAACACAGGTCCCCAATCCCCAGGTATGGAGTGGGTGCCAGTCCGTGGCCTGTTGGGGGCTTGGGCCATGCGGTGGTGGGTGGGCAGTCGGGGGTGAGGGAGGATTCATCTGTGTTTGTAGCCACTCCCATCACTCACATTGCCACTGGGTTCTGCCTCCTGTTAGATCAGTGGTGATATTGGATTCTCCTAGGAGCACGATCCCTATTGATCTGTCATTGTTTCATTGTACACTGCAGGGTGATAGTGGTGGAAATGGTGCACAGTGGATGTGGTGTGCTTGGGTCATCCCAAAATCAACCCTTCCCCCTGGACCGCTGGTCTGTGGCAGGATTTTCTTCTACCAGGCTAGTCCCCGGTGCCTGGAAGGTTGGGACCACTACATGACATTCTCAGCAGAGAGGTGGCAATATGAGATTCACATAGAGCACTAGTTTGCTTACCTGAGCTAGTGCTGAGTCTTTCCATGAGCTTAGATGTTAAATCATCCCATTCATTTTCACTTTCCCTTTGGAGCTTTTCCATGCCACATACTTTTAGCTCCCATAGGATCTCACTCTCTTCACGAAG